TAGTTTTTTTTTTTTTTTTTTTTAATACTTTTTATCTTTAAGTGATTGACATGAAGTCCGAAGGGTGGATTCACTTTCTCTACCAGAGTTTTAGCTATAATGTTCATGTCTTCCGGAGCTTGGTCAGAGAGGGACGCAATCCATGTATCATACCAAATGCATATGTCCCAAACACCACCTTTGGCCAGAAAGAAATCCAATCTTCTTTTAGGCTGCGGAGTGGAGTTCGACGGTCTCGGACCATATCACATGTACCCACAGTCTTCAAGATTCATGATTTTATAAACATCATGTAGGCTCTGCGCATTTTTCAAGGTTGTGAGCATCCTGCTATCCTCTCTGATAGGAGTGGGGTTCGAAGAATCAAGGTCGGGGTTGAAAACTGTATTCCAATCACCAACCATAATGAAATTTTCAACGTCCGGTATCCACGACGGAAGGGGGGCAAATAATTTTATTCTCTCTTTGTATTCTACTGGGGCATACACTGACATAATAGCTCAGTCTTCGTCATCTAAAACGATTTTTACCCATGCTACCCGCCCTCTAGGATCAACGAAGGAGTCGATTTACCTCAATGTCTAAGTCCTTATTAATCAAAATGGCAACTCCCCCTCTCGTTTGTTCTGCAGGGGCACAAAACTGGGGCCCCTTCCACCACCGCTTTACCTCTTCTATTTTTTCGAGGTTTAATTTAGTCTCCTGAAGACATGCGATGTGCACGTCCTTTGAGTGGAGTCATACCACTAGGTTTTCTTTCTTGAACTTTCTTGATGTATCCCCTAAACCTTTGATATTCCAACTTATAACTCTAATCTTGTTTGGCAAGATCATTATTATGGTCAATGTCGCTTATCAGTTGGATGCGGGGATCCGGAGAGATGACCTCCATTGGTATGCAATCCAGCTTGGGGAGTTTCCCTTTACCGGTATTTGCACTCTCCTGTTGGGGGGCAGGGTGATTTTGACTTAAATGATCTTTGGCTTCTGTGTGGTTCAACCATTCTGCCACATGCTGTGCATTTAAGTTGAAGCCCATTCTTATGTCCCTTTGCAAATCAATGTTAGAGGCAAAAAAAGTAGTTACTGAAAGCCAATGTATATTCAGTTGTTGCCATTGGTCTCGTGAAACTTCCAAGGATAACAGACTCAGAAAAGTCACATATAACAATATTTTATCCCCTTCACGTGACTCCACCATATACCGACCCATCTCCTGCATAACTGAGACCGAACCCATTCCCCTCAACACCAAGGACTGGGTTAGGAAGACAGTTTGCTCCTCTTATGGTTGGCATACCACCAAAATGGAAGGGAGTTCTAAGATTTTATCCTGTGCTTTCGTTGTTAGGACAGACAAGCCTATATGAGCAGTACAAAAACCTCTTTCACAGTTTTGTTGGCCCTATCCTTCTTTGACAGCGTTTTCATTGGCTCTGCATAACTGATTTCCTTCTTTGCTGAAGTCTCCCCCTGATATCTTTTCTATTTCTCCACTAGGCCGGCCTCTTTGTTCTCTCCCTCATGTGGGGAAATCTCTCGAAGTGAGATCGATACATATTGGACCCGTCCTCCAATCTACTCCTTTTACTTGGGACTTTCATCCTCCCTGGTGTGCCCCCTCCCTTCTTTTCATCCAATATGGTGTCCAACAGTTTACGGTTGTTTTTCTTCTTCTTCGAAGCTTTCGATCCTTCTTTTAGGATGACATTCTTAGCATTAAATAGTGGACCCACCCCAGTCCCTTCTTTAGGGGCCTCCTCCTCCACCAGGGCTAGAGCCTCGTCCTTTTTTGGGAAGGAGACCTCTCCACCGGGCTTGGGCTTACCTTGGGGAGATGTGGACTGAACTCCACAACTGTGCTCCCCCATCTGGGCAAACCCCAGCGCCGCAGGATCTAGGTTGTCAACTAGATTGCGTCTAAAGCTTTCATAATATAATATCCGATTTCGAAACTAGGAAATTCCGCTAACGCGCCTTGATCGACACCAGAGAAAGAGGTAGGTTAGCCAAGCTATATATACGTTGGATAGGAAGAGGATTCTCTAATAAGCCTCACTTAATTGGAGACTTAGGATTTATGTAATACTTGTGAATTGAAATATGAGTAGAATGTATTTAAACGTTCAAACGGATTACTGGGGCAAAATTCCTTGGACTTCAGTCGAGAGTTTTGTCTTCAGATTCCAGACCAGGATTTACAAGGCCTCACTTTCAAAGAATTATGGTAAGATGCGTGCACTTCAGACAAGACTGGCACAAAGTTTACACGCCAGATTGTTAGCCGTTCGACGTGTGTCATCAAATTTATCCTTCATGGTTTGTTTAATGTTCATATCCTCTTTTTGTTGAACAACCTTCTGTTCCCCCTCTTCTCCCTTCATCCCTTTTCCGTCTGAGCTCTTTCCTCCCCTTACCTCGTCTGTGTGATTGTCCCCTTTACCTTTTTCCACCTTCTCGGGTCCATTCTCCACCTGCTTGTCCTTGTCTCCCTCCTCAGACTTGGCCTCCTCAATTCTCATCCTCCTTGTCCTGCGGTTTTCCAGGGGAAGGGGGGGGGTTGTTTCCTTTCTCTTCTACTTTCTTCTTAAGCCCCTTTTTTCCTTTCTTGTTTTTTTTTTCCACTTTTGTTTTAATTTGCTTTTTTCCAGCAAATTCCTCTGAGGCCGTTGGTTCTGGGCAGGGGGGGGAGCGGGGGGGGGGGGGGGGGGTTGTCATCTCCTATCCCCTTCTCACCCTTTGCAGGACCATTCTTCCCTCCTTTCGCCTCATCCTTTCCCTCGCTTTCTTTCTCCTTTCCTTTCACCTCACCGTTTTTTCTTTGACCCTTGTCCTCCTCCTCCTTCCCTTTCTCTTTCATCTGTCCGTCCTCCACCGCCTCTTTTCCCTTTCCACCAACCACAACCTTCTTATGATTTGCGATTCGAGAGCAGTTTGCATGAGAGTCGGTGTGAAAGAATTGCCTACACCTATTGCACCAAGGCGAGTCAAGGCAGGCAGCCTCCAACTCTGCAAATTCATCCTCCCCTATATCTACCACCAACAATTTTTTATACTTCAACCTAGCTGATGGCGTGAGGTCAAAACAAATATTCCATAAATCAGGGGAGATAGGGTCCTTGAAGGCCGGTGTTGTACACAAGATACTCCCAAAGGCCTTCATCACTACCCCACGCAGATGGGGCAAAACAAACATTATAACTTGCATAATTCGAACCCAAAGAATTGGAAGCTCATCGCTTCGTTCCATTCAAACAGTTGGTTCTCCGTCATCCACGGACAGAAAGTAACTGTATATTTTCTTTTATCCATTTCGATGACATCTTCACCCTTTCTCAGCATCCATTTTGCAATTCCCTTTGCGCTAGCCACATATGTGACCAAATTGCGACCCTCCTATCGAAAAATGCCCCGTTTAGGTGAAGCATTTAACACACCGGCTTTTGCCCAACCTTCTTCATATATCCTTACTAACTGTTTTTTTACTTTAACTGGGACTGAACTCATATCATCTCCAAAGTGTATTGACACCGCACGTTCACAGAGCCATTCTGCCTGGATCTGATACACCTCCTTGTTCACTGCCACCCGAACAAAATATTGGCTCGTCTCTACCACCCGATGAGCATATTCGTCGGGTAGAATGTCGTTTGAATAACAGTCTTTAACATTTCCCTTATTCGAATTTTGTCCTCCGGCTTCAAAGGGACAGGGGTTGTGGAACCGGGAGTCATCATTCTTGCTATCAACACAAAAAGCACCACTACTATTAAAATTACCCCTAACCCTCGAACGTCAAACTTAAAACTACTCCTTCGTTGCATGGACCACACCTATGGGGTTTGCCTTCATAAGGCTGATCAATCCTTACGAAACCAGAGAGTTCTTAAAATGAAAAGAGATTACCCAAAGTCTCTGTTGCTTCGCGTAGATGCCTGCCCACTCGTGATTGTCGGTCAATTCAAGCTGATCATTTTGTTCAGCAGCTCCGTCCTGTTCATGCTCCAATAAAGCTATGATGGCACCTCCTTAACTGCTCGCTCCTCTCGCCCGGCCTTCCGCTGACTTCCCACCTATCACCATGCAGTGGGAAACGGGCAAGTTATGTCGGACTTTTGACCGGGCCCCCACCATGTATCTTCACCCTCACGATGGGGAAGAATCTATGGTGGAGAAGCTTACCCAACTTGTCCAAGAGATCTCGCACACGCTGTGTACTCATCCTGCACGTAGATCGACAACCGGCGCACTAAGCCTAACCCTGATTCGTAATTAGCGCTAGGCGCCGCCGAAGCGACGCTTAGTGCAACTTGAAGCGAATTGGTGAATCGATTAGCGCAAGGTCCTTTGTTTTTGCCCGCGTAATAGTATTCACTCACGCTCGCTCAGCGCTTCCTCTCTCGCCCTAATCCTCTTTCTCAAATTCCTCACCATCATTCATTCATTCATTCATTCTCTCTCTCTCTCTCTCTCTCTCTCTCTCTCTCTCTCTCTCTCTCTCTCT